TGGACTTAGACCCTATTTAACGGAAGTAAGGGGCTAGGGTTTCCTTCACCCTCATCCTCCATCACCTCCATACCTATAAAAGAAAACCCTAATCCATCTCCTATATTTTGGGCTCATTTTGTCACTTTTGCGTGCTTTTGAAGGAATAAAGAGTCCTTAGAAGTGTTGTGAGCTTCTTGGATATCTTGGAGCTTCCTTTTGAGAAAGTTTGGACCTTTGTAAGTGTCCAAGATCTTAAATTTCTTATGCTAGGGTGCTAGATCTAAGGTTTTTTTTTCCATTTTCTTCATATATAAGTTAGTTGGAAAGGTAGAATCCGTAAACTTAGCAACTTTATGGATCCTTGAGGTCCTTTACATATCATATGGTTCAAATATGGAAATTTAATGTGTTTTGGAACCATGCATGTGAGCTTTAGTGATTTTTCTTCATTTTTTACGTAGTGTGGGATCTAGACATGCATTGCAGATGCGTGTCCATAAAGCATCGACTTTTAGAATGATTTTGGAGTTACAAGGCCCTCTAGAAAGTTAGAATGCATGGCTTTTAATTTTTTGGTTGAATGCATTAAGTTGTCCATTTTGCTTAAGTCATGATGTGACCATTTGGTGGTTATGATGTGGCAAAGAGAATTTCTTCGATTGTTTTGGACTAGCTCTATCACAACCGGAAGGCATGGCCATCACGACATGACTATCTCCTGGATCAAAATGAGTTGAGTTGAATGGTGACTAGGTTAGGACCAGGTGGAATCCGTTTTTCAGGGTGTAACCATGAGTTGGTCATGACTTGAGGTTCAGCTAAAGGAATTGTGACCATTGACTTTTACCATGAATGCTATGTTAATATGGTTTGACTTTTGGTCTAAATGGCCAATTTTGGAGGTTAGACTAAGGTGAGACCTTGTTTGATTCAATAGGTGTGTTGTAGTGTTGTTCGTCTGGCTATGAGTTGTGTTTTAGTTGATCCCGTGAGCTAGGTGAGTCTTCTCACTACACTAAGTAGGATACGTTGTAGATGTGACTCTTGCATGTGTATGTTGGGCTGGGTTCATTTTTTTATTCCGCTAGGCCCATTTATATGTATGTTGGGCTGGTCCCATTTATATGTATGTTAGGCTGGGCCCATTTTCATGTTGTGTTGGGCCTACTTATATGTATGTTGGGTTGGACCCATTTATATGTATGTTGGGTTAAGGCCATCTGTATGTTAGGTTGGGACCATTTATGTGTTGGGTTGGGCCCATGTGTATGGTATGAGGTATTTTAGGAAACTCACTAAGCTTTGTGTTTCGAGTTTGTGGTTTAATTATTTTTCAAGGCCCGACTTGACTGCACAACATCCCCTTATGATTTTTTCCACACCGATGATTGCTATCTCACTTTGATGATTTTGATACATTTGTACTATGATTGGTTTTGAAACACATGCTATATGGATTTGATGATTTAAAAAATGAAAACATTTTATCATTACATTTGAGATTTTACATTTCTTTTCACTTTTTTAAAATTTAATAATTTTTATCTATTTTTATAATTAGAAAAAAATAAAATAGGGCCCACCCACCTCTTTCTCTCTTATTGGAAAGTCCTATAACACTCTGGGGTGTTTGGCTTGTCTTTTTAGAGACAAAAGTTCTTTTTGGAAAAGTTATAAAAAGTCAGGTTTTCCTAACTTTTCCAAAAATTCAGTTTTCGTTCTATCTAAAATTCAAAAGTAGCTTTTAAAATGTTTCTACCAAACATCTTTTACGTTTTATCTTTTCCAAAAATGACTTTTACCTCTAAAAAAGACAAGTCAAACACCCCCTCTATATCACCTCCCTTCACCCTTTCTTCTATTATCGTCGGAAAAACTCATTCTTCCGCCTCTTCCCTCTCATCGCTCGAAAGGACCTCTTCCTTAATCTCCCTTTATATCTTCATCTCGACTTATGACTATCCCCTGCAAATCGCACATAAGACTTCATCATCACCATCCATTTCCAGATCTGAAAATTGGCCTGCTCTACCGTTACCCTCCATTGCCAAGGCTGCAATAACATGACCACAATATATCGTCGACACCATCCTCCTTTCTCCTTCTTGATTTCTCATTTTCTCTATCTTTCTCACCCTTTCATGCTCTCTTTCTACCCTCTACCATATTTCTCGATCTTTCTCTCTTCCACACCACCACTAGAAATCGGCATGTTCAACAATAGCAATCTACTATCTTAGTTTGATGTATATGTGTGATTTTTGGGTTTGATTTTACGTTTGAATGGGTTTTAATCCATGGGTTTCTGTTTTTGGTTTCTAATGGCAAAGTTTATGGATTAACCATGAGTATTTGAAGCGGATAGTCATAAGGAAAATAATATTGGTGTAACGAGAGAGAATAGATGTAGGAATGAGGAATTATTTGTTTGACTGAGCAGAACCATTCAAAGCCATCTCGTAAAAAATACCTAATTGCAACTCGAAAATAAATATTTGATGAAGCGATTAACTTTAATTCTAATGTAATGATATAGTCGTACATTTGCCTCTACAACAATTAGATTACTTTTGATTCAACTGGTATGTCTGTTTATAAGTTGTAATCAAAATGAAACTAAGGAAATTGTTGGTATTTTCACCGATTTGTGTTTATAAACAAAAGAAATTGTTCCAAGTTGTAACTAAAATTGTTCAAATGTTTACGTCGGGGTCACGAAGAAAGAGAAACAAAGCAGTTGCATCTCCTATTTTCCAAACTCACACAAACGAAAATCAATAAAAAAAAAAAAAAAAGGTTTGCACTTTATGTGTATATGAAGCAAACTGGAAAAAAAACAACTTCTCATGAATTACAAAAGAACACTCACCGAAAATACATACATGTGTGTGAGAGAAAAAGAGAGAGAGAGGTGGGCTCCATATTTATTATTAATAAAAGACTAAATTAAATAGAAAATATGCAAACAAAAATTATCACGATATTTTAGTCTTTTTAGTTTTCCGAAGTAACAAAACCACAAGTAGACTAGTTAAAAAGGACCACTAATCGAAATTTTTTTTGTAGTTTTGACCAAATCCTGAAAAAATACATACCATAATTAAGGATTATTTTTGAAGTTTTGTCTAAGTATTTTGTACCTGGAAATAGGACTAGTTGGTTTAACTTTTACTTCTATAGCAAACTTGTTAATGATTGTGGACATTGTTGCTAGGCATGTTGCATCTGATGAAGCAACCAATTTTTCTAGAGCCTTCTCCAAAGATTGTAATTTCTACAAGAACCAATATGTACTACTAATAATCAATAGTTCGTTTGTGTTGCGCTACTCATATGAAAACACCAGATCCTTTGATAAAATTGCGTACAACACATTTGAGAAAGATGAGTACCTCGGAAGGGACAAAATGAGTTCCTAGCCTAACGACAAGCATCTCAGCTGCATCCAATCGAGTGCCGGTCAATCCCATATATTCTCCTATATACATATCATTAGTTTGTTATTAATTATGTATCATTCAAAGAATCAATACTTGTAAGTTAATTATGATGCGAAGTTGATATCAATTTACCAAAAAATCCAGGAAGTCGTGATAGAAAATAAGAAGCACCAACATCAGGAAACAGTCCGATCGATGCTTCAGGCATAGCAAATATCTACATCAATGTCAAAAAAACCACAACTAGGATTGCAATGGTAAATATGACAAAAGAAACTTGTACTTGGGGATCTAACGCCTTGTTCCCGAGTTCTACTTAAGGATGAAAATAATAGGATATGGAGAGAAAGTGAAGGGTGTCGATGGAAAATCGTGTTTCTGAGTTTCATTAATGAAAGGGAAAGTGACGGGAGAGAAATGATTTTGGAGCTATATTTTCATTCCAAATTGGACGGATTTGGGAAGAAAGTGAGGGGAAGGAAAAAATTTAAGTTTTATTTTCTTTTTCCTCATAACTTAGGAACACAAAAAACTTAAAATTTTCCTTTAATTTCTTTTGATTTCCTTTGAACTTGGGAACACCGAATAATGAATATTTTCTTTCCTTTCTCTTTCTTTCTGTCAAAATTTTCCTTAAAAAAAACCCTACGAAGAAGACATAATTGAAAGTTCTACAAGGGAAAAGGTAAAATAACAAGAAAAAATATAATTAATCTAAATTAGGAATTTTATTTTATTGAACATAAATAACATTAAAACTAATTAATGAACTCAAATTTATTAAAAAAACATATGAGGTTAGTTAGTGAGGTACAACTTCTTTCACGTCTCTTTGGAAGAAGAAAAGGAAAAGTGTTCAATTAGAAAGGCAAGAGTGGTGTTCCAATTCTTGTCAAGAGTATAATAATTGTTAGTTTTTATATATTTCTTTTATTGTATTTTCATAACTTTTTGTATATCATTCTAGCTTCTTGCTAGTTTCAATTATATATATTGCTTGCCGATAATTTGAAAAAGAAAAAATAAAAAAATAAAAAAATAAAAAAACTAATTTGGTTATTTTGAGGATGATGCTATGTTTTCAAAGTTTGAGCTGTTCGTCCATGCAGAGCAGACGCAAGATTTCATAATAGGGATGTCATGGAAAAATTAGAGTTAGACGATAGTATAAAAAAAAGTTTTCAAAAAATTCTGCACTGCATCCGTAAAACTCAAAGGTTGCCCGTGTCACTACGTGACCTATACTAAAACCGCCCATGTGTCCATGTAACTAAAAAGAAAAACAAATAGATACCGTATTTTCAGTAACAATTCTGAATGTTGAATGTACCGATATCCCAACTCCTCCTCCCATAACAACTCCATCTATAATCGCAACCATGGGCTTCTTATATGTTGCAAGCAGGTAGTCCAATGTAAATACTTTCCTATAATAAGTTGCCACGACACTCCAATGTGCTGATCAAAATGAAAGAATATTGTTTTAATTGCTTCTGTTTTGGCTCTTAAGTATTAATAAATATTTCACATACCAAGACGTATAATTTTCCAGGCAGCCACGAGATCACCACCAACAGAAAATACTTTACCGTATGCCTACAGATCAAGATGACACAATTAAAAAGCTAAACATTTTCAGTGGGTACTTTTTACCGTTATATTCTAATTGTTAACATAATATATCTTAGAATCACATAAATTTTTATAAGTAATGTACTTTATTTGCATACTTCCGTATTGATCTTGCTTTTAAGGAGAAACCCACGAGAGACGTGTTGTTTGATCTTCCTTTAGATTGGTTGGTGTGATTTTTTAACCAATACATTGTGTTCTTGATTGATTTTTTTTAGTGATAGTACATTAAGTTGTTTAATGTGATTATGATTAATTTAAAACAAGTTGGGCTCAATTTAGTGACACAACACAATTTTCGGTTTTGTCAAATAGCTTGCCAGTTCTATAGGTTCCGGTTCAGCCGGACCGAACCGAAAGAAGGCCAAAATTACTTAATGAGCTAGAAAATGACTTAATGAGGCCAGAAATGACTTAATGGAATAGAAAATGACTTAATGGGATTGAAAAACAACTTTAGAACTGAAAACGGTTACTAGCATTGGAACTTATTGAATTCCTAGCAATCTGGTTTCTAGTTCTTCAGTTCAGCTTTGATCGATTCTAGTTCGGGCCGGTTCTAGAATCATGCTCGTGGCTAGTCATTATATATTAGTTGGGGACCAAAGTCTTGACAAAAATTACTACAATAATCGTTGTATTATAGAATAGAAACGTAAGTTTCAAATTGGACTAAACCACCGGGACAATTTATGTAATTTCTCTATTTATGTTGAAATGGACTTATTGTTTGTAATTCACCCCCATCCAACCCGTTTTGACCCATATTACAAATTTATATGTGATACACTCATGGTCCATTATCAAACACATGACCCGACATTTTTCTGGGCTAGGTTTGTCATTACATCCTCAAATTATGTTTTATACCTTAAGAACAACAATCTTTACGGTTGGATCAATCTCGTAACTTTTAAGGTTCTCGAAAATTTTTCTAATCTGCAATCATATATACAAGTATACTAGTTAGAAATACATAAGAAAGTCAATTTTCGTGTTTTTTTATGCTTGTTTATACAATACCATCTCATAGCCGAGGGCGTTCAGTTTCTTTGGAGCATTAAGTATCACTTTTCTTGCTCCCAAAATGTCTTGAAATATTACCTGCAAAAATTATTACTTTTTGTTTCTATGACTATATCACAATAACTTTACTTACACATATATTTTTGATAAACATATCTACTAAAAATACTTCTCTAATCATGGATATCTAATTTTTTTACTTGTTATCAACATATTTTATACTAATTTATTAGTTTTATTAAACAACTAAACTGAAGTAATATTGTTTAATAAGTTTTTCTTTATTATAAAGTTATAGTTTATTATCAATAATTTGATCATAAAAAAAAATCGTTTTGTACATGCAATTTTTGACGGGAAAATTAAAACAAAAGTGATCATAATCCTATAAAAACTTAAAATAAATGAATTATCGAATACGAAACGAACAAAACATAAAATATGTGAAATACGATAAAAATATAATAATATATTTCAACTTCAACAGCTCAAATCGTATATTAACGGATAAAAAGAGCCATGAGCATTGTACCTCGTCTGATTGGGAAAACATGGAACCAGCCATAATCGATCAGTGATTGCTAAGACTACAGAGGTTGAAGATGTTGAACGATAATAGATATATTCGTGTTGATATACTACTGGTGGTGAGCAATAAAAGAAGCGTACCAACAAACGATTTATGCGAATTACATCAAAATTTAAACACAAGCGTGTATCTAACATTAACTTCTTTGGCATTGTGTTTTGTTATTAAAAGAAGCATGTCCAGACCACCGAAATGTACAATTAATTGTTATAAATTTAATCTACAATTGTTAGCTCTATTTTATCAAGAAATAGGCAAACAGCTACCAAAAACTGTTTGCTGATTTATTGTCATTAAATTTTAACAGTGGCATGTGTTGTTGATAAGGTCACTACAGTTTTCACCAAATGCATTATAATTGATATGTTTAACCCAAGTGCTTCTCATCAATCATATTGGTGTAATTTAGAAACAGATTAAAAAGTGTGTGCCACCTTTCTAAAAAAGTCTGAAGCTTTATCCTAAATAAACTTTTATTTATTGACTTGGTTGCTAGCATGCCCATTTTTGGTTTACAAATTAAATTCCACAAAAGACTACATACATATGTATATTTATACGTACTTTAAAGAAATATTATGTTGATGTATAATATTTTTTAGGTTTATAAGCCAAACAATTATAGGATGGCTGTTCAATTTCAGGGAAGGAAAGTTTACTAATAAGGAATCTGTATTACTCATGTTTTATGTTTGTTAGTTTATATATATATATATATATATATATATATATATATATATATATATATATATATATATATATATATATATATATATATATATATATATATATATATATATATATATATATATATATATAGGGGACGGTCCACTTGAAAAATTAAAAAAATAGAATCTTGAGATTAAACCTCAGCCACATATTTCACATTTACCGATTTAATGCTCCAGCATACCAGCAGCAATGATGTATGCCTAATCCTAAATGATTATATGGCAGAGAGGTATAATCATACAACATTATACATGTTTATACGTATATGCATAATCATAAATGTTTATACATACATACATATATATATATATATATGTTCACAGATTGAGTAATCATAAATGATTATTACAAATAATCGCAGAAGAGGTGGCAGTGGTATAAGTAATGGAAGTGACAATGGTGGGGTCGATTGGTGTCAGAGGTGGTGGTAGTGGTGGTGGTGGTGACGGTTACGGTGGTGGGGATGGTGGCGGAGGAGAATGTAACGGGTGACACTGTGTAATCATTTATGAACACATCAGACCTGCTACGCCGGTACACCAAAGGGTTAGAGCGGAAGATGTGAAATACGTAGCTGAGGTTGAATCTCGAGATCTCTATTTTATTATTAATCTCAACGGAACCTCTCTCTCTCTCTCTCTCTTTCTCTCTCTCTCTCGCTCTCTCTCTCTCTGTATATATATATATATATATATATATATATATATATATATATATATATATATATGTTAGGGTTCATTTGAGACCATTCTAATTTTGTGAGACCGTAAGACAAAATCTAAAAATAATTTTAAAATACAAAATAATGGAAAAATCCAAAAATTCTTTTTTTAAATATTATTTTCGGAACTTGAATTAACTAAAAAAATAAAAAAAATAAAAAAATCCCATTTTTTTTAAAATACGTGAAATATTCTAATAGAATATTACACTGGTATATTCTAAAAAATAATTTTAAAATACAAAATAAATAGAAAAATCTAAAAATTCCTTTTTTAAATATTATTTTCGGAACTTAAATTAACTAAAAAAATTAAAAATAAATAAATAAATAAAATCCCGTTTTTTTTGAAAAATACGTGAAATATTCTAATAGAATATTACCCTGTACATATTCTAAAAAATAATTTTAAAATGCAAAATAAATGAAAAAAAATCCAAAAACTCTTTTTTAAATATTATTTTTGGAACTTGAATTAACTAAAAAAATAAAAAAATAAAAAAATAAAAAAATGTGTCTCACGGTCTTACAAAATTAAGCCGTTTCACATGAACCTAACCCTATATATATATATATATATATATATATATATATATATATATATATATATATATATATATATATATAGTACAATAGAGAAACCATTATTATTCAAAGAACCAATGAACAAATCTAAAACATCGGAATTTAAAGCGATCAACGGCAAAATGAGGGTTGTAAATTTTTATAATGGACGGACATATACCGGATTATAACAAAAACTCACTTTCCTTTTTTCATTTAAAATTTTTTTAGGTCAGTTTTTTATCGAAAAAAAATCCGAACACACCTTTGTTCACGATTTTCCGTCCTCTTTCCATAGAGATCCATGATGATATATAAAAAACAAAATTTTTTTTCGAAAAAAACTCACTTAATTTTCTTATTTTTTTTTCAATATTTAAGCTTTCTTTATAAAAAAAACTAATTATACCTCAAATATTAATTTTTTGTACTCTATTAATAAACATCAACACCAATTAAAAAAAAAAAAACCTCGAACAGTGTAAATTCACACTGAGAATCTAAACTGTAAATATTTCAATTTTTTACATTCACAATATGAAAAATCTCGAACAATTCAGATTCACATTATGAATCTGAATTACTATTATGCACAATTTGAATCTTAGAAGGTTCAGAAAAAAAAAAAAAAAAACCAAAAAAAATCATCGATCAGTGTAGATTCACATTGTGAGTCTAAACTATAAATATTTCAAATTTTAACATTCACAATGTGAGAAAGCTCTGATCAGTTCAGATTCATACTGTGAATCTGATTTATTATTATATACACTGTGAATCTAAATTGAAATATCATTTTTTTTAATATAAACATGAATCTATGTTTAAAAAGTAATATATATATATATATATATATATATATATATATATATATATATATATATATATATGAATTTTGATATATTTATTAATTTTTTTCTATAAAAAATAGACTTTAACTTTTTTCATTAAAGAAAATGAAGTGAGTTTTTATCGAAAAAAGGTTCGTTTTTTATATATTATCATAGATCTCTATGGAAAGATGACGAAAAATCGCGAACAACGGTATATTCGGGTTTTTTTTTTTTTTTTTTTTTGATAAAAAGCATGGCCTAAAAAAATTTTAAACCAAAAAAAGTGGTGAGTTTTTTGTAAATGGTGGATTTTTTGGTATAATCCGGTGTGTGTGAGTCCAATGTAAAAGTGTACATCTATTTTTTCTTGGCCGTCGATCGTTATAATTTCCGATGCTCACAATTGGTTCCTTGGTTCCTTCATTGATTATGGTTCTCTACTGAACCTCACTTTCTCTCTCTCTCTCTCTCTCTCTTGATTATGGTTCCTTGGTTCCTTCATTGATTATGGTTCTCTATCTATATATATATATATATATATATATATATATATATATATATATATATATATATATATATATATATATATAAGTATGTTCAATTGAGAACAATTTTGGATTTGAGAACATTTGACAACAAAATTAAAACACGTGTTGGTTTGAATTAAAAGAGGGGCCTAGTCCATCTGCTTCACTTATTCGCACAAAAAACCAGTGACACCCAATTCCGGTCTTGCCTTCTGCGGAACACCGCCTCCTCCCGCAAATCACATATGCACCATCAATCACTACCGGAGATAACCATTGTTGGGAAGGCATTTCTACAAGGATTAACGCAAGTGGCACAAGCTGGGCGAGCAGTGGTGCGAACCCTTCCAATAAGGAAGATAGTCAAGGAAACCCGAGGGAGTGTTCCTACAAGGACTTAACGAATGCTAAACCTAGGTCTTTCGATGGCACTAGAGGTGTCCTTGCCCTGACTCGTTGGTTCGAGAAAACCGAATCAATCTTGGAGAACTGTGTGTGCCCCGAGACAAGCATAGTAAATTTTGCAGCATGCACCTTCACTGATCAAGCACTAACTTAATGGAATAGCCAAGTCAAATCCCTAACTCTCTCAGTAGCTAATGCCATGACTTGGGATGATCTGAAAGAGTTGATGTTGGCTGAATACTGCCCTCGTGGCGAGATGCAAAAACTGGAGCAAGAGCTCTAGAATATGAAGATGAAGGGTTCTGATGTTGCTGCTTACACCGCTAGGTTCAATGACTTGGATCTTCTGTGTCCCGGGTTGGTCACCCCCCAGAAAGCAAGAAAGTTGAGAGATACATATGGGGATTGACACCCCTAACTCAAGAGAATGTTTTGGTTGCTAAACCACTCACATTTGACAGTGCCAAGTGCCTGGAACGGGCCTTAGTGGATCACGGGGATAGCCACAACCCCGTAACATGCAACCACTCCTGAACCACCTAAAAAGGGTAGTGGGAAAAAAAAATCTGGAACAAACGCAAGGGCCAATCTTCACAAGAGCCCTTAAAGTGGCAGCAAACAGTGGCAGTCCATGTTGCTGCTGTTCCTGCTACTCAAGCACCTGCCAGTAGATATGTTGGAACCCTTCTAAGGTGTGACAAATGTAGCTTCCATCATCATGGACCTTGTCGTGATACGCAATGCACCAACTGTGGCAGAGAGGGCACACAGCCCGTATCTGCAAAGCACATGTCCAACCAACCATTCAAGCTCCTGGAGATGGAATGGGCCAAGCCTGATATGGTTGTGATGAAACCGGGCACTACAAGAGGAATTGCGCCAAAGCAACAGCTACGGGCAACACAGGGAAAGTGCTAGCAATGGGCCAGGAGGAGGCAGTTGCGGATCCCACCGTAGTTACGGGTACGTTCCACCTTGATAACTCTTATGCATGCATTCTCTTTAATAGTGGTGTGGAGAGGAGTTTTGTTAGTCATGCATTTAAACATCTAGTCAAACACAAATCCCAACCTCTAATCGAAACGTTTAACATGAAGATGGCTAACGGAAAGAAAGAAAGCACTAACGACGTATTCATAGGATGCACTCTCACTCTAAACGATTATTCCTTTCCAATCGACCTTATGCCGATCTCCATAAAAAGCTTCGATGTTATCATCAGCATGGATTGGTTGAGATCCAATCGTGCTGATGTTCTTTGTTATGAAAAAGCCATTTGCCTCAATCTACCATGCGGTGAAACCCTTCTTATCTATGATGATAAACTCAGCACGAACCTTCGCATCATTTCGTTCATCAAGGTCAAAAATACTTGCAAAAAGGAGTGTCACACATTCCTGGCGCATGTAGTCAATGAAAAACA